GGCACTAGTCGACCTAGGAGGGGAAGGAGAAAAAAGTGTCCTTTATGACCCTCTGACAAATTATTATAGACCTCAAAGTATGTCTGTTAAACATCCAAGAAGGTTAGTTCCACCATTCTGGCATTTTTAATTACTGTGTGTCTTGCAGATAAATCTTGGGTAATGACCAGTTGGTCTCAAATGAACCTTATCTAGAGATATTTTTCTTGATCTTTTATGTATAATTTGTCAGTAGATTGTAGGAATAATATGGTTCCCTCTGGTTTTCGTGACTAGCTAGGCAATGTTTCTCTCTTGTATCGTCTCCCCCCTCTATCATGGTTTTCCCACTTAAGGTGCCTGCACTTTCCCCCCTTTCTTCCTTACTAATACCCTTGCTCCTTTTTTCTTTTTTCAATGGAAGAAGTTTAGCTTACTGAGTACACTGCATAGGAGCCATGAACTGGGCAGTAATACAGTACTGCCTGCCTCCAAGCACTTCTCTAAAACCACGTAAAACCAGGTGTGATGACACAGGCCTGTAATCCCAGTACTCAAGATGGAGGCAGGATTGTTGAGTTCTACGCTTCTCTAGGCTACATAGCAAGACCTTGCCTCAAAAACATTAAACAGAGGCTGGAAAGATGGCTCAGTGGTTGAGAGCACTTGCTGCTCTTGCAAAAGACCCGTGTTCAGTTCTCAGCACCCATATTGGGCAGCTCACAATGAATGGCCTGTAATTCCAGTTTCAAGGAATCCAAAGCCCCCTGATTACCTAAGACAACTACATGCATGTGGCGCACAAAAATTCATGCAGGTGCACACACACATAAATAAAAATAAGAAATAAATCCTTAAAATAAATAACAAAGTAAAAACTCTGCCAAGTAACCAATAGAACAGGATATTTTCACTAAGTAATTTTTATTTCAAAATAAACTTTTTTTTTTTGGTCTTTTTGAGACAGGGTCTCCCTGTAGCCCCAGCTGCCTGGAACTCACTATGTGGACCTGGCTGGCCTTGAACTCACAGAGATCCGTCTGCCTCTGCCTCCCGAGCGCTGGTACTAAAGGTGTGCACCACCACGCCCGGCTCAAAAAAACTTTTAAAAAATTATACTTTCGGGGCTGGAGAGGTGGCTCAGCAGTTAAGAACACTAACTGTTCTTGCAAAAGACCCAGGTTTGAATCCCAGCACCCACATGGCAGCTAACAACTGTCCATAACTCCAGTTCCAGGGGATCTTACAGTCTTTTCTCTCCTCTACAGACATTGCATGACATGGGTGCACTTACCTACGTGCAGGCAATACATGCATATACACAAAAATAATAAATAATAATTCTTCAAAGCATAAAAATTTGCTCCTTAATAATTAGTAGATGTGAAAAACATCACCATTGAAATCTACCTGACGACTTTATATCCATGCTCAGATGCCAAGGAGCTCAGAAAGTAACCCAATGTGACTAGTAATAATCAGACATATAGAGATTAGAAACACATGTGCAAACATCTTAATGTCAATTGCAACTTAATGTGAATTTTTCTGTATGAAACTGTGTATTTTAATAATGAAATGGAGATCTTTTTTAAAGGTTAAAACCTCATTTAATTTTATGTCTTATAGGGTTTATACTAAGTAAAATATTGTGTAACTGTATTAATTCAACCGTAAACC